TTTCGTTTGGGCGCCTGTTGTTTGCAGCAGATCCAAATCGTCCTTCATGGATCGTGTCGTTTGTACATATTTCGATGAATGTAAGTTTTTGGTATTCGTTTTAAGGGGTCCCTTATATCTGCAATAAAATGGAATAAATAAATTGTCAACTTTTTTATTTATGAAATGTTCAGACAAAGATAAATGAAGGGCAGATAATGGTCGTGTCCGCATGCTAAAATTCCATTTTATCTCCATTCTTTTTTTACAAGGCAAAATTCAAATAACAAAAATTAATTTCAGCTGAGCACGGCTGGGGCTCGAACCTAGGTCCTCGGAGCAACACAAATGTTGCCAGACCACTTAACGTTCTGAGTCATCAACACACTTCCAAAACGGTTGCGCAAAAACATGTGTATACCATGGAAGAAATTGTAGGTGTGTGGATTAATTATCCATCGCTACAACAAAAATCTGCTTTGAAAAGGACTGTTCCTAGAATGAAGACAAATGTCGAACTTTGACAAATTTGAATTTAATTCGCATATGCAAGTTTCGGATCTGGGCGGAATAAATACAAGTTATCAACGTACGACCTTTGTAAAGCCACATAGTCCAATATGCCTGATGAGCCGCATAACCAACGGCGAAACGCGTTGTATAATGGTGGGTACGTAGGCTCTTCTCCTGGCTTTCCTTTTCATTGCAAAACTTAGATCATCAAGCTCAACTCGAAAGAGTATAAATAATCACTTAAAATTACTTTCAAATGATCAATGCCCTTACAAGGCAAAATTATATTTTTGGTATTTTCATGGTTCTAGTCGCATTTTCCATTCGAAGTGGTTTTGTTTTTGCCTTTGGGTTTCTCCTACCCTTTTTGGGTATTTCGAAGCTCGTAGAGGTGGTGAAAATCAGATCTTGACCAGAATAACATTATCATATGTCCTTCTCTCTGTCCATCCGTTTGTCTGTTGAAATCACGAAATTTTGCACTGATAGAGCCTAAACCTATTGTTAGACAAATGGTGCGCAATGCATTGAAGAGCTTCTTACCGTTCAAAACAGTTGGGCCAGACAATGTCTTCCTCGCTTTATTACAAAAGAAGGCGGAATATATATTACCATATTTAGCATGTTTACGGTTTACGTACATTCCGAAAGCTTGACAGGTAGCTAGGTTAGTCTTTATACCAAACACCCGTAAGACAAACTACGCAACACTAAAATCCTTTTAGCCAAAAAGTCTAACTTCATTCTTACTCAAAACTATGAAACGAACAGTTGACACCATGATTAATATTAACATACCAAACGATACGCTATAGTGAAAACCGCTCTGCACATGGTGGTACACTACATTGAAAGCAACTTCGATAAGAAAATGTATGCATTGATATCGGGGGAGCTTTCAATAATGTCGGCATTCAAACACTTAACCAATCCTTATAGACCTTCTGAGTTGACCCGGCAATCACAGCCTGGGTCAGCCACATGCTAAGTAATATATGGATAAACTGTACCCTACAGGACACAAATATCGGGCCGTGTAGGACAGGGACTCTTTTAAAATCCTTAACTGAGGGGGGTTTTCTGTTATAATACTTTTGAGGGGAAAGAGTCCTTATTTGTTATGTAGGAAGGTTAAAAGAGCCTATAATTGGCCTATAACGAAATCCTGCCAAGGCTGAGATATTTCTCTTCACTAAAAAGACAAGAATAGGACAGTAAAAAGAATCCGTCTCGGATTCAGAGTGATAACCATATCAAATATAGTTAAATATCTGGGTATCATCCTAGATAGAAAACATAAATGGAAGGACCACATACAGGAATGGGTCCACAAAGCCCACAGATGCTGGTCTTTCTGCAGATGGGATTTTAAACCAAAGATGATACACTGGATCTATAAGAGCGTTATTGGACAATTCCTAACATATGCGTCGGTAGTCTGGTGGACAATGTAAAATTGTAACAGAAAGTCTAAGTATATGTTTGACAATGCGGAAAACACCAACTGCAGCTTTGGAGACTATATTGTATAGATATCCAATTGACCGTCGGACACAATAGACAGCACCAAAATATAGTACAGTATTCAATCGGATCCTCAGTCGGACCGAACACCTAAAATAAGAGTAGCCACAACATGATAAACTATGATACCAGACAGGGACTCATGGGTTAGCGGAACACTAGTAAACATGCCCCCTGACAACTGTTTTTATACAGATGGCTCTTAGACAGCAGAAAAGTCGGGAATGGGATTTTTCATTGAAGAACCGAGAACCGAAATTTCACAGGCGTAGGTTCTGAACTAGTTTAGTACAAACACTGTTCAGGATATAATAAATATTATGGCAGATAGTAAACAAGCCATAAAAACAATAACCTATAAAACAGTAATATCCAAAAGTGTATTGGAATGTATAGAAACCATAAATAATTTCTCGCGACATGGCCACATACGAATCATATGGGTACCGAGTCACAGAGGAATAATGGGAATAGAAATATGTAGTGCAAACATGTAGTAGTTGAGGTGGCAGCCCCTGGTCGAAGAATTCCTTCGAGTCAATCCGGTGCATAGATCCTGCTGCCGTGAAATAGTAAGTTGTATTGCAGGTGGGAAACAGGTTTCCAGTCACTCAACATCAACGTGGATTCCGAAGGATGCGCAGTACAACTTCAGCATTACACGCCATAACCACACATGTAAGCAGAGGACTTAACCAGAACAGGCCGTTCGACAGAACAGTCTTAGTGTCTCGAAAGCATTCGATACTGTCAATCACGCTAAGCTTTTCGAGGACATAGAGAAGATCAACCTCCGGCCTAGTTTGCCAGTCACATGTGGAATTCAGAACCAAGAAATCTAAAACCCGTAGAGAGAAACAGGGAGTTCCCCAAGGTGGAGTCATATCTGTTGATCTCATATAAAGCAATAGATCGATCGGTGGTAAGCTATGTGGCGCCAGTGTGGTTCGCAAATATAAGCGATATGCAGTGGAAGAACATTCATTCCTGTCAGAGTGTCGCCCTGAGAACTGCGACAGGGTGCCTCCTCATGACGATGCAGTACTTGCAGGAATCATCCATGCCATCTTATGGATAGAATTCCCCACCCAGGCATGTAAGGAGAGACCTATATGATCTAGAGAGAGAGGTCCAAGGTTACAAAAGAGAACCCCTAGATCAACAGGCTTATCGAGCAGGAATTACCAGCATTCACACGGAAGCAGTGACCCATGCAATGGACCAATACCATGTGAATGCAGTACTTGGAGTCCACCTATATCAGCAGAAGAACGACAGTTGCTTAGACAAACGAGAGTGGTTTTAGCCCAATTAAGATCGGGATGGTGCTGCCGCCTCAATTCATATTGAGCCCGAATTGACAGCGAGGTACCAAACACATACTCTGCGTGTGGACTTGGACCTCACGATATGCTGCATCTTTTTAACTGTCCTGCTCAACCAAATCATCTGTCTCCGGAATCTTTTTGGACGCAGCTGATAAAGATTGCAACCATCCTGAACCAACCTACCTTTTTCCTGTGCCATTGCCCCTCCTTTTCGAGGGACCTTTCGTGGCATAAAAGACCTAAAGGAATGTGAATGCAAAAAAAAAAAAAAAAAAAACTGAAGGACTTCACTAAGAAATAAGAATACCTAGAGGTTTAGGGCAATCAAATCCAAAGATCTAAACTAAGTGTAAGTCCTACTATTGGGCATGTGGTGTTGCCAAAAACACCCCTCCTTTCATTTTAACCTAACCTAAATCGTTATCATGATTCACCGTATTCGCCGAACTTGGCCATCCCAGCAACCGCTAAAAGGGTTTTGACATTCCTTGTTTTGACCTTTTATAACGAAATTGTAAAGGTTTCTCGGATGATATAATTCTGTCTAATAGTATTACCATTCTAGGTTTTTACAATGTCTAAGTATGAAGGGGCTGTCTCTATTAAGAGCAAATTGACTGTGGTTTGGCAGTGCGGATTCGTAGAAAGAAATAAAGCCTGGCATAGCCGGGCCAATTTGCTATTTTAAAAAATTTTGGGACCATCTATCAATCGATGTGGTAGTAATTTGCTTTTTTATGTTTTCGATTAGTTTATTACAATAATCTCGCTCCGAAAAATCCATGCAAGGGATTATTTTTACCGCATTTTGTAATTTGAAATATTGAGTACTCCGAGGGTAACAAATTTGGCCAAACATAACATCATATTTACATGTTACTATTTTCCCCATTGGAACATTATGCTTACCCTACCTTGAATTCAATATAAACCAGGTCTCCTTATCCTTCGTTGTATCTTCTACTTCATCTTCTTTGCCACTTGCCGCCTCCTGATTCTCTGAATTCTGTGCTCTGTCTGTTGTTTCACTTTTATTAGATTGACGATTTATTTCATTTTTCTTTTCGTTTTGTTTAAAAATATTTCCCGATATTGGATAAATATTTTTATAATTTCCATAAAATCCCGCTGGCCACATTTGTACGGGTTGATATTTTGGTGTGGGTTCCACTGTTGTAAATTCAGTTGGTCTTTCAAGATTTACATCGGCATTTTCATCTTCATAGGTTATTCGAAATTTATCCTCACCATCATTATAGGTGACTTCGAGTTTTTTGTGAGGCAAAGATGTTGTGGAGGTGGGTGATTCTTCCAGATAGTGCCTATGATTGGCAAAGGGTTTTTCTAGGGTTAACGGTAATGATGTGGTGGTATCAAATGAGTGTTGGGATAAAATATCCTGGGGTGCAAAGAAGGCGGTATACTTCTTAGATTTTTTATAAGATTTCGTAGAGGGGTATTGTGGAGTTAGTGGAGGTCTGGCTGTGGTTGTAGTGGTTGGATTTATCGCCTCAAAAGCATAAAATGGTATCATGGAGACATTTAGAACTGGTGGTTGTGGAGTAAAGGGTGAGGTAAATTGTGACTCTTTGCGACTCTTATTTTTAACCATCATAGTTTTGGGTGGATGTAAGGTCTGTCCCGGTACTGGCTCCTGCATGGGATATTTATATCGACTCATCATTGTATTGAACAGCATACGTCCCTTATTGCCCGTGTAAACGAACAGGGGTACGGGTCTATCAAAACTCTCCTGACCGGGTATGGAGTCGAATTTCGGCAATTGTGGCATGGGTTTGAATTCTGGTATCCTTTGTCGGTTGTGTGGTAGATAATTTCTTGGTAAATGTAAATTTGGTCTCGTATATAATGTTACACGTTTTTGGGCTTTGTAGGGAAAGTGGCGATTTGGCGGCGAATATGATGAACGGCGTGAATTTTGACGCCGTACATAAATTGGTTTAATGTGATCGTATTTTAATTTTTCTTTGGGAGGTGATTTCAAAGGCACTGCAGCATCCTTGCGCTGTTCATCATTCAATACCCACAGCGGACTTTTCCGATTTAAATAAAATGTTCCACTTTGCAATGTTTTATAGGGTTTAGCACTTGTCATTGGTTTATAATTGTAATCCACATTATTATTTGTTATTTCAAACGACAGAGAGGCCCGAAATGATACCGCAAATAGCACCGAAATTATGGAAAATTTGTAAATCATTTTCGTTTTGTTTTTCGAGAAAAAAATCGAGGTTTTATATTTTGGTTGTTTTCGTTTCACTTAACTTTTTGCAATTGAAACTAAAACGTATCACTGGCCACATATTTATAAAAATATTTTTTTATTTTAATTTCAAGAACTGCGATTACTTTCATTGCAACTGGTTTTTTACATTACATTCATGTGTTGTAGGTCTAGCCTGATTCCAAGTTCAAAACACTTTCATTTGCAAGAATATTTGGTTTTACCTTCCCTTGTTGTTCGTTGGACAACAACAACAACGTTAAGAAACCCATTAACATGGTTTTAATTTAAGTAGCCATGAAACTTGACTGTGTGAGCCCAAAACATTTTTGGTGACCCTGTGACACCCAAATGGCAACCTCAAGAACAAAAGATTTAAGACACAAACTTGCTGTGCGACAGCAGACACAGAAATAAACTCAAACTAGACACTTTTTAATTTGTTTACTAAATACCAAATAAACAAGTGAAATGTTGTGAAAATTTGTTATTAAAAATTGCCATGAATCTGTTTAAGGTCAAAGAATATGAGAATTTTTAATGTCATATGAAAATATATCCAGTGTGTGTATTAAAGTATAAAAAACTTATCAACAGAATTGTATATATATTTGTTTTTACATGAAATACCAGTTTTAAGGAACCAAACATTACAGTATGGTGGGATAATTTCAATTTATTTGGAAAATGTGCCAAATTGGATCATAATAGAAAATTTGCTGTATGCAAACAAATTAGAGATAATTTTTTACAAATAAATATCGTGTTTAAAAATCTTTTCTTTTGGAATGCTTTAGTCTTTGGCGAAATACTCCTAAGATCTAGTCTTATCGAAGATGTTGAAACATTTCCGTAAGGTATTTAATTAACTCTTACTGAAGTCAAGAAATAATTTGTTGGCAATATTGTTAATTTTATACTGTTAATTTCTAAAAATCTATCAAATTTAAATATATAGTTTGATTTAAGACTGATAGTGAAATTTGGCGTAGAATATTTCATTCTTCGGCACTATGCACGAAAACTGAAGTTTCATGTTACTATCATACAATTTGTGGAAAAAGTAGTGGGAAATTTCTATGAAAAAAATTGCCAATATTTTTCGACTTTTTGTCCTAAATGTATTCGGTTCAATAGGTGAATATAATATATACACCTATTGAACTTGTTCTGTGTCTTTTACCAAAATTTAATGGAGAATTTTTTTTCTTTTATATCATCCTTCTAAAACGACATCTTTCGGGAAAAATAGGTACAAACTCGGAATAAGATATGTTTTAACACAAAAATATTTTTTTATATAAGTATATATTATATACCGATATCTTTAGTTCAGTGGCTTACGCTAAATTTTGATTGAGAACATTTTTGTTCTTTATGCCATCCTTCTGAAACAACATCTAGTGAAAAAAATTGCTCCAAACTCGGAATATGACCGGTTTTAACCCTAAAATGAGTTTTAATATTTTTAACGTTATATATTCCGTATATATATTATCACTTGTTCAGTGAATTTTACTAAAATTTGTTGTAGAATATTTTCGTACTTTATGCCATCCTTGTAAAGCGACATCTAATGGAAACAATTGGCACAGATTGGGAATAAGATCGGTTTTAACCTTAAAATGAGTTTTCATATTTTTAAGATTTTTGACGTTTAAGCTGATTTTAGAATTGTACTCTATTCTGATATTTATAGTAAAACTTTACGGCGAATATTTTTGTAGGATATTCTGATATGCTGCTATACCCTCGTTTTTAATGAATTTTCAATCATTTCTTTAATAATGGACCGAAAAGACCCCTTTAGAGAGTCGACAGAGGGTTAATGTATTAGAGAAAAATATTTCTTACATTCTGAAGAAGTCTCTCATGAGGCTATTCCGGAATGGATGGTCCACATATTCGAAATTGAAAATATATTTTTTATAGGATCTAAAGTGGCGTTTGAGCATAGAATGAGGAAGATAATATAAACTCTAGTCTATGCTTGACTATTCCAATACAAACAAGTAAAAATGTTGTTCGGTCGGGTCGAACTTTAGCTACCCTCCATCATGTGGTGGGAAATATATATATATTTTTAAAGGATCGCGAACCTTATATATGATGTATGATGATGTATATCCCGAAAACAGGAGTGATGTTAAAAACATCAACCTAAGAAGTTTTTATTAATTTCTCTTTCGAGATGAGCTACATGATCAGAGTTGCAATGAAAAGGAAAGCCAGACAGGTACTCCATTCCTAACAAAATGTCACGCGTTTCGCTGTTGGTTAGATCCAACAACATTCGGCCAACATTTTTTCAAATTACAGGTATTTGGTATAATGCGCATACAGGACCGAACTTAAATGTGAGGGCTATGTTCTAATACAGACCTAAGTAGTAAATGTGTTCTATCCTACAATAACCCGGAATACCAAATTAAAAATACCGAAAATAGGGCAATACTTTTATATGGAGTCTATGTCCAAACCTTGACCTAAATTTATAATTTTCTGGATATTTGTCAACCTTCAAAACCCGGTAATATAAAATTACAGAACCATGGTGGGAAAATGTAATTAAGATCTTCAAAATACCGGAGATGGGGTGGTACCGTTATAGGTACCGAAAAAATTACCAAAAATTTCCTAAATACCATTATATACCAAAACGTGGGCCTATACCAAAACGTGGACCGATATATCCCATTTACAATACCAAACATCCAAGGAGTAATAACAATGTATATGCAAAATTTGAAAGTTTACCTTGAATATTGCGAGCTCTATCGTGATTTCATAGATTGTCGTTGGTTACCAAACTAACGCCCAATATAAATAGCGCCCACACAAAGGGTACAAGATATAAAGTACAAGGTCCTATCCCAATTTTCGAACCTGAATGTAGTCCCGATTTAATTTTAATTTTCCTCCGCTATAGTCAGGTGAGGTTAAGGGAACCCACCCATTCTTGATTTGATATTTCGTCGATTTTCGGCTGGTAAACGAAGGTGCATAGTATTGAGAACTTGTAACTTGTGATTTGTATTTTTATACCCTCCACCATAGTATGGAGGTTATATTAATTTTGTCATTCCGTTTGTAACTCACCGAAATATTCATTTCCGACCCTATAAAGTATATATATTCTTGATCAGGGCAAAATTCTAAGACGATCTAGCCATGTCCGTCCGTCTGTCCGCCCGTATGTTGTAATCACGCTACCTTCCGAAGGAAGGAAATTTGATACATTGGGTTCTTATTGGGTACTAAATTATAAATATAGGTCCACTTTTTCTGGTAGCCCCCATATAACGGTACCTCCTAATTTTCAGTATTTTGGGGGTTTTGGTCGTATTTTTACACCGAATTGGCTGTAATTTAGTACTATGAGTTCTAATAGGTTCCAAATCACTCCACAAAAAATTATGAATATAGGTCCATTTTTTCTGGTATAAGGGTACCCCCAATTTTCGGTATTTTGAGGGTCTTGAGCGCTTTTTTCAACCGAATTCGCTGAAATTTGGTATATTGGGTTCTTATTGGGTACCAAATATCTCCACTAAAAATTATAAATATAAGTCCTTTTTTTCTGGTAGCCCCCATATAAAGGTACCCCCAATTTTCGATATTTTGAGGTTCTTCAGCGCGTTTTTCAACCGAAATCACTGAAATTTGGTATTTTATAGCCGTATATGGAAACAAATCTCCCTACCAAAAATTTATTAATAGTCAACCCCTTTAAGGCGTAGTCCCCATATAACTCCATTTTTATATTAATATAATTATCTGATTTTTCCGCGTTTTGGGTTTGGTACTAACACTCTGTTGTTATCATTTCACCTGCAAAGTATATCGAGATAAAAAACTAGAACGTACGGTTCGATAATGAACTATATGTGACCTATAGCCCGCATTTAGGCTTAGCCGTAGCCCCTGTGTGGGAGGTACCAGAAGGAATGGACCGATATTCCCCAAATTCGGACTTGAACTAAGTTTGGAAGACATAATAAGATGGGATGAAATTAACTTTTTCTGAAACGGATTTGGTCCCAAGAAAGATGGGGTCTAGAACCAATATTTCGGTGAGGCACATTTTCACCGTGTGAAAGTGTATACACACTAATTAGCCATAAG